AGTACTGTGTCATTTCATTTCTAGGTCAGATTTTTACAAGGTAGCTCAAAGGTATTTTATAAAAGTGGGCTTCATTACAACTAGAAAGAAGGAATAAATGTGGACACAGAGAGGTGCAGCAATACTTTTTTTAAAATCCTTCCTGGAATTCAACTCACCCAGGGTAGCTTTGCCTAAAGGTTACAAGTTGAGTCTAAAAGAGTAATCTATAAATCTCCCTAACTGGTGACCAGGGATATTTAATGCAGAGAGCTTACCTCACCCAGGAATATCCAAAACTTGAGAAGCCAAGGACTCCCAGTGTGAGGCAGTTTGAATTGTGGGCTTACTAACAGCAAGAAAGGTTAGAAGAAAAGCAAAAAACACTGCAGAGAGATGAAATTACAGAATCTTACAAAGGAAGAGTTGCTCCTGAGACAAAGGGAAAAATTTGGAGGAATGTGCACAGCAGGCAGAGAAGAAAACACGTGGAAGTGAAAATGAGTATGAATGACTTGTTCTGCATATCCAGGACTGGACTTGGATGATCCTAGTGGGTCCCTTCCAACTCCAAATATTCTAAGATTCTTCATTCCTCTCCTTGTGAGAAACTGAAGCACCTAACACTGCCATGCTGTTAGATCCATTTTGAACACAAAATATCCCTGTCTGGGAAGTCAGTGTAATTATAGCAGCAACCAGGGTGTCAGGAAAGCATTCTCCATGATTAATAACAGGAAAGGGGGTATCCAGTGTGAGGAAAGTGCCCTTCCAGTGATCCTGCAGAGCTGCCTGCCCCAAGGGCAGCCCTTCAGGCCGGAATAATGAGTAAGGCAGGCACCTGGCTGCCACAAACTTCCTTTGTGGGCTAAAATTGTTTCCCTCCTCCCTCTTACACCCTCACCAAGTGCAAAACGCAAAACAGTAACCCTGATCTCAGGGGTGAAGTGCGGAGAGCACCCGGCCCCTGTGGATGGGTGCTCTCTGCTGGGTTTGGACTCAAGGCTCAGCAGGTAACGTGGAGATTTGCAATGCCAAAGGAAAACTGGATCAAGTAACCCAACGTGTCATGCTCCTCCTACACTCAGCCGTGACTTTCCCAGATCCCCAGGGCCGTGCACACGGAGCCACCCCAGCCAGAACACAGCTGCTCACTTCCCTAGAATTAAACGAGCCAATTCAGGTTTTTTGATCTAAGATGAGACATTTAAACAGATACTCAGATCAAAATATTTGATCTCTGTTTGATGCGCACACAGCCAAGCACTGCTCAGCAGACAAAAGATCCCAGGTGAACTCACAGGGTCTTGATGATGTCTCTGAGACAGAATCATGAAATGGTTTGGGATGGAAGGAACCTTAAAGATCATCTATTTCCAAATATAAGCAGCTATTGATACCCAAGTAGCTGGCATCGTTAATTCCTACAACCAAGGCAAAGGAAGGCCAGAGAATTACATCAATTTCCAAGATCCTGTCATTATTTAGAAAACTTTCACCTGTCAAAAAATGATGTAGCAGAAATACACACTGCAGAGACAAAGGCAATGTGTGTGATGATATGTGTCTTCCCAGTGAATGATAACTAAGATAACCAGCTGTGGTTAAGTCATGGCTTAACCAGGAGTCCACCCATGGATAATAAAAATCTACAGACATTCAAAAAACAAATGGGAAAAACCAAAGCCATACTGTTCAGGATAGAATAACAAAAGTCTCTGTGTGGATAATTCCATGGGTGACATGTCTCTGACAGCAACAGGGTTGAGTGTTTCAGTTTGCTCTTTGATATCAGCTGCTTTCATTGGAATAGGACTCTGGGACAGCCAGATCTTTTGTCTGAACAGTTTGTTGCTAATAACATATGAATCTGACTTCAGAAGTTCATTTGGCATCTAAACCAGCAAATTAACTGGATATTTGCACACAAGTTATCAAATTTGTCTGTTGTGATAGCTAAACAGAAAAAAAAAATAGGTTCACAGTTACAACTTTTGTACAGTCTTGGGCTTGAGACCCAGCGAAAATAAATAATTAGGCATTAGAAGTTCTACTTTCAATGACTAATATTCACTATTCAGCTTAACCTGGGGAAATCTGTATGCTACTGAGAAAATTATGCTTCCTCAGAAATCCCACTTTTCGTTCACAATACATTCCATCACTGGTAAAATACATTCGTTTGATGCACAGTGTGTTCAATAGCAGTTTTGTATTCCCAGCATACCTAAAGGAGAGAAATGGCAATTACAGTAATTTTATTCAAGTTATCTTTCCCAGCTATCTATTACACTACAAAGGTTAATTTGAAAAACAAGCAGGCCAGCTGTCTAATCTTATCTTCCTGGCTTCATTGATGTTGCATTATGCTTTTTGCTTGAAAGTTTCAAATTAGGTAATGTCCATAAAACAAATAGAAACCCTGAAAATACCTAGAACAAAAGTTCTGAATTGGTTTAAAAATACCCAAAGAAGCATAAAAAAATACCCCAAACTATAAATTCATCATAATGGCAAAAGTGAAATTACACCTGCTTCAGTAGAACTCTCCCAAAAAGTTTTGGCCTACTTAATTTGAGCATAAAATCAGAAGAATAAAAAAAACTGTTGATAATTTTACCAGAGCTTCAGCAGCCCCAGCTCCACCCAGGAGAGCTGACCAAAGCACAGTGCTGAACCAGGCTATCCCTCAGCTCTGGAATTAGCTCAGTTAACATGGAAATATCTCCCTGCACCCCAATCAGGACAGGATGAACAAAGGGGGAGAACAGTCTCCTCAAATGGTGTCACTCTGGGGTGCAGGTTCAAAAAGAAACAGCAGAGATAATTTGTGTTTGGGACTAATGGGTTTTTTTTTGGTTTATTAATAAAAGCTGAAATCACAAGAAACCATAAAGAATAGAGCAGAAGATTTGAGCAGCAACATTCACATGAAGTTCTTATGAGTCTAATAAATGCCATTTGTTTACATAATGGAGAAAACTGAGAATGAATGGCACAAATGACGGTCTAGCAAACCAATTTTCCACTTGGATCAAGACTTAGCTTTTTTCCTCTCCTGAAATTCTGACACTAAAGCAGTCATGGAAAAGAACAGTTGCAGAAAGAAAATGGAGCCTGTGAAGTTTTCACTGAGGTAAAATCATAAATCTAATCAGATCAACACTTTGCAGTGTTTTTACAGGAGCAGCAACTACAAAAGCTACAGTATCACCATAAATCATCTGATATTTTATTGTCATAAACATCTGCAGCTCCTGGATATAGATATGTAGTCAAGGGAGCACTTGAAAAAGGGTAAGGAATGCCAGGTACACTCATTATGAAAAGTAATGTTCAAACCAGGATTTCTTTTGCTTTTGTCATCAGGACCTAACAGTTTATGAAGTTATGCAGACATTAATGGCTACACTGATTTATTGTATTTCCAAATTAAGGCCACACCTTCAAATCCTTCTGTTGAATCAACGCCAACAGACTGTTCATATTAGGTTAGGCAGATTGGAAGAACAATACAGTATTAAGCTCACCAAAAAAGCCCTAGACAAAGCCATGATTTCCAGCAGCAGATATTAATGTTTGTTTTGCGATTCATTCACCTGAGTAAATACTGAACTTCCAAAAAACACCAAGCTGCAAAGGGGTGAGCAAGGCAGGGCCCAAAGCAAGGCTCCTATGAGGAGGTACATCCACACAGCTCAGCGTTGTTCTAAGCACAGGCAGAAACCTGGGTCCAGAACATGCCTGTGCATGGCACAGAGCCTGGGTTAATGCCCTTTCAGCACAGCCTGTTAGGTCAGGCTCAGTGCCAGCCCGACAAGCACTGGAGCAGTCTCTGTGCCATGCTCCCCGAGCGCGTTCCGAGGGCAGAAACACCCACACATCACATGCTGCTTTGGCCACTCACTCTTTGGTTCTGCTTAAACCCATTGACCGCTCCAGGCTGGAGCAGAGGGGCTGGGAAGCTGGGACAGGCCCTGGGGGGCTGTGACAGCAGCTGGACAGAGCCCAGGGTGCCCAGGTGGCCAAGAGCCGATGGCCCCTGGGCTGTGCCAGCCGTGGGGCAGTGACTGTTGCTGTGCTGGCACTGCTGAGGGAGCACCTCAGATCCCAGGGGCAGCTCTGGGCCACCCACAGCAACAAATTGAGGGGCTGGAGCCCCAGGAGAGGCTGAGGGAGCTGGGAAGGGGCTGAGCCTGGAGAAAAGGAGGCTCAGGGGGGCCCTTGTGGCTCTGCACAGCTCCTGCCAGGAGGGGACAGCCGGGGGGTCGGGCTGTGCTCCCAGGAACAGGGACAGGAGGAGAGGGAACGGCCTCAGGCTGGGCCAGGGCAGGCTCAGGGCGGGCACCAGGAATTTATAAACCTCACTGAAAGAGTGATCACACATTGAAATGCACTTCCCAGGGAAGTGGGGATGTCATCAGCCCTAAGACAGTTCCAAAAATGCTTTAATGTGGCATTTGGGGACCTGAGTTAGTAGTGAACATGGCAGTGCTGGGTTAGTGCTTGGACTTGATAATCTTAGATGTCTTCTCCAGCATCAACTGTTCTGAAACTCCTGTTTCTTCTGTCTCTCAACACATAGACTTCTCCCTCTCACAATTTTGGAGACTATTTCCTAACAGAGATGGCAAGCAAACTGTTATCACTGCCTGTCCCACATTTAGCAAACACCTCCCCTACTTCTTTTCGTGCAGCTTCTCACAGACGAGTTTTTCTTTTGCCCATCCAAAATTTATTACTGGGCAAAAAGAAGGCACTTCCTTCATGCTTGATGATCTTTCCCTGAAAGAGTGGTTCCCACTTTTGTTTGCATAGTTTGGGACATCAAGATAGGCCAACCACAGCTTCAGTGGCTTTTTTTCATCCTTTCCATCATAAGTTGCTTCTTTCCACCCGACTCAAAGGGTAAATGCCTAAAGACACTGCTATAAATCCTCTCTAGTTTTGTGTTAATCACCAAGTTTCGCTGCTTTAACTGGAACCACTGCTGGCTAGGAATGAAACAGACAAATCCTTACCCTCAACAGCCAGCGAGACGATGCCCTGCGTGTCCTCCACTCCGTACATGACGTCGCAGCGATAGACCCCGGCGTCGCTGGCGCGCAGCTTGGAGAAGGTCAGCGAGGCGTCCCCGCTCTCCTCGGAGTGGCTGGGGACAGACACCCTGTCCTTGTAGCTCTGGCCTATTTTGATGTTGCCATTTTGGGCCACCAGGACCGTGGTTTCCTTGGCGTCCTTGCCGCTTTTGTCCAGTTCCACCTTGGACCATTTGATCCGGAGGTACTCGGCAGCGTAGCTGGAGGATATGGTGGGTGTGGTTGAAAAGAAGCACGGCAGGACTGAAGTTCCAGAGAGAGATCCCTTGACCAGGGTTTTTTTTTCTGCTTTAACTAGAAAAAGGGGAGAGAGCAAGGAGAGAGAAAGGAGAAATCATGTTAATGTAACAGCAAAATCAGAAACAGATATATTTCATTGTTAACTAATGATTCACTAATCCAAAGCCTGAAATCCATGAACCTTACTTGATTTGTAAGAGGACTGGGGGGTACAAGCTGAAAAAAGAGTTTGTATCAATCTTGGTACATCTGAGGCTGATGATTTGGCACGTTTCTCTTTGGGAAACTTTCATTCTGACTTATTTTCTCTATTTGTTATGGTCAGTTTGGGAACTGGTCTGAAATTTTAGGTGACAGATGAACTGTAAGAGCTATTTCTTCAATTCACAGGAGGAAGACCACTCTGAGTGAAAAATTATGAGTTACCTCACTGGCCAAAACCCTGAGTGCAGGGGAGCTGCTGGAGCTCACACCTTGCCTCACCTCACGGCAGCTGTTCCTGTCCTCAGAAGGAAACACAGCCCATGGCTTTGCAGCCCTGTCACCCCTGACCCCACTGTTCTCTCAGGGGTTAAATCTTTTTATTGCACACGTGCTGAAACAAAAGCCTTTCCATTGAGAGTCTCCCAAATAGCCACTCTTTCAAAGTTGCTTCCTTGTAGCCTCCGGGCCTTTAACACATTGCAGAAATGAAATATTTCAGGATGTAAAAGCAAAGGAAGAAGTAAAGCACGCAGAAAGTCCCTACTTGGCTCAGACTTGACATGATCAGGACTTTTATCATTTTTTATGTCATCTCCAGCTGCAAACGTTTCAGAGTGAAATGCTTCCATCTGACAATATCCTGAGGGGGAAGTTGACTACTGTTCATCCAAGCTGCACACTGTGACTGAAGAGAGGGTTTCTGATGGATTTGCCTTTTTTATGTGATGTTATTTCATCACACGTAATGGCTTAATGAAGATTAAAAGCTGATGCTCAACAGTAACTGTTTTACCTCTTTCACAGTCCTTCTCTCTAACATTTTTGAAAGGTAGAGCATAGTCATCATTATTTTGAAAGGAGTTGGGATTTATAAAGCTTAGAAATATAAGAACTTAATAATAGCCATCAACAGAGTGATACATGAAACAGCAGACACCAGCACATGAAATTAATCTGTTTATCTATGATAAAAAGTATAATCTCTCCATAAGGAGTAGAAGATTGGAGAGTAGGATGGAAGAGTGAGCAGAGGGAGAGAATTAAAGAAGAGTAGCAAAAAGGGAAGAGAGAAAAGACAAGGGAGAAAAATTTAAAAAAAAAGGGAACAAAAAGAAGAAAGAAAACAGACAAAAGAAATGGGGGAAAAAAGGAAAATGGAAGAAAAAAAAAGAAAAGCTGCTCATTAGCCTGATTATTTTTAACAGAGACAGATGATTTTCCACAGGACAAAGTCTTAATGGTATTATCTAAATGGTATTATCTAAATCTAAATACAAGAGTCATCTGCTTAATGCCCAAGCATTTTAATAATAAAGTACTAGCCAAAAAAAGAGAAAAATGGGCTGACAGAGAAGACACAGAATTCTGAATTAAGTTCTTGGGTCCTTTTCATCCATACCTACTCAACTAGAATTCCTTGGGCACACAATTTAAAAAGAGTCAAAATGATGGTATCAAAGCTGATGAAACCAGAGATCTTTTATATCGCCTTTATTTTGTTGAAACTTCACAGAGCTACAGTGGTTAGAGATAAAGAAATAGAATGAATTCTGAGTTCTATCAGTTGTGATGGAATTACTGCCAAATTGCACAGGTGGGAGATTAAAATCAGTCTCAAAATATTTAGAATTTATTATGATCTCTTGTCATCTATACACCTTACAGGAGCTTTCTTCTTAATTGAAGAATGACTAAATTATAATTATACTGACTGACAGAACTTTAAAAAACTTTGTAAGAACACTGTTTATGATTAAGAGTGATCTGGAATATCAGCGCTGAACCCTGAGGAAATTTCCTCCCTTTAAAATTTGTGTCCTCACATCAGCCAGCTGGAAGCCTTGGCAAACAACACATTTCATCCTGATATGAAAACTAGATCCAGCCTAAACTGTGCTGCTTCCCAGAACAGAAGATTCTGTGGAGCTGCAGTTCTGCCCAACTTTAGAAAGCCTCATACCACACTTTACAAAAAACTATTTGTTGTGGCGAGGAGAGGGAAGAAGGAGAAGACAAGAAGAAGGAGGAGAAGGAGGAAGAGGAAAAAGAGGAAGAGGAGAAGGAGAAAGGAGGAGGAGGAGGTTTTTCCCTACAGAAAAAGAAACTATTTGGCTGACATAATATCTGAAATACAAGACTAAGTGATGTTCCTGCACAGGTCCAAAAAGCTTGATGTCTTGCAGCACACCAAATTAGCTAGGGTAGCAGAATTTACTGACCAATGCAGAAGTTATCAGTATCTCATATTAATCCATATAACCCTTTTTTTACCCCCTTTAGTATTTCTGCTAAGCTCATATTCCATGTCAGCCCCTATCAATGGAATGTGATAGGCCAATGACACACAGCTGGATGTCTTCCTTTTGAGGTGGGAAGAAAGGAATTCTTGCTTGAGAACAAAGTCTCTTTCTCCAAAATGTGTATACTTGTTCTGTGGTAAATGTGTACAAAATCCTTAAAGTAGGAGTCTAGATAATTTTTTAAAAGGACAAAATTCTGCCCTTCTGTATCACATTAACCACAATGACCAGGCCAATAGGTCTCCAGTGGACAAGGAGTCTGAAGAAAAGAGTGCCCTGCATGGTGTGACACTGCTTGGAGGAGTGAATTTGCCACATAATTGAGTTTAGCTGAACAGAATGTTGCTACTGACTATGCAGATAAATCCCACATGCTTAAAGAATAAAATATTCTATTTATTTTTAGATAAATTTATGAGGGAAAAAAAAAATGTTGCATGTCATTTTTCAGTTCATCAACAACCTGCTGGGACATATGGTATATTGCCCTGTCTAGCAGCAGAAATAGAAAGGATCACTGAAATTGTGTGTTTTGTCAATCTAGCTGCTAGCACTGAGCCTAGGAGAAGCTTTTTCATTAACCACCAGTCTTTTAGTGAAGATAATAATGAATTAAAATGAGTGAAACTTGTAGGAAACACTGAAAGGTAACGGACTGAGACCCAACAACAACCTGAGTCCTTTACTTAGGTGGTTTGTGGTCTGAGCAAGCAGAATAAGAGACAGACACACAGAGTAATGAAGAATTAATTTTATAGTCTACAAGACACTCACAAGGAGCCAGGCAAATGTAAATCTCAGCTGCAGAGCTCAACATCACAAATGGCCACCCAAAGCAGGTAGGAAAAACTCCAGTGTTGATTATAACCACAAGGCCCAGCTTGTAAACCACAACAGTGATAACTTGGGAATTGGTGTTTCACAAAAGATTTAAAGGCTTCAATTTTAAATCCAAACTAAGGATTCAAAAAGAAAATGTTGAAATGTAGGGTGTCTATCTCTCAGAATGCTGAGATACATTCTATTTTTAGAGTATTTTTAAACAAAAGCTGTACTTATAAAGATTGTGTGTAGTCTTCCAACATTCATTCTTAAAAATATTACTGCACCAACTGCCTTTTCTACAAAAGATATGGACATGAGTTGATGCCACAGATTCTTTGGGATGATGAATTAGATCAATTCATGAAAAACAAAAATGTTTTCATCCTTGTCCTCCTCACCATGGCCATTGTTTGAAAATGGTTACTAGTCTGTAGGCCAAAAGAATGGCCCCCGACTTAAAAAGTAAACCCCAGGCTGGGTCACAGCCTGATCTACATTCCAAAGAATGGGACATTCATAAAAATCTCCCAAGTACCAAAAATTCCACTCTGGAGATAAATGAGCCATTTATGATGCAATAAAAGGTGGAGTAAGTGAGAGGACATGTAAAGATGCCATCCCACACTCTACAACTTCAAGGATCCATGCAACTCCTCCCCACTTAAGACTGCTGCCCCCTCAATCCCTGTATCCCTGAATCTGCATTTGTGCAAGGCAGTGAGTCAGGTCTGTGGTTTGATCCAGACCTTCCTTCCTCATAGCCAATCTAAATCTATTATCCTTTTTTTTTAATTGGCTCCACTAATGAACCAGTCCTTGTCTTTATCATTAAGACTATTTAAACATGTTACTAGCAATAGTGTTCCAGATAGGTGGGAAAAAAAAGTAGTAAATTTGATTTTCCCAAAGGCGAAAATCAGTTTGAGGAGTACCTGGAAGTAAGAGGGAAAGAAAATAAAGAAAAATCTTCCTTTGAGATTTGGGAAAGCTGTTTTCCCAATTTTGTGAGTCTGTAGCAGCTGTTGGGATATTTTCCATACTGAAGGCATGACCCAAACTTTCAAATAACCAGGGCAACCACACATGGATACATACTTCAGTCTTGGCATGTAATCACCGAGAGGTAGAAAGGGCTCCTTCCTTTCCACCCAAACCTGCAGCTGCTCTAACACCTCCTTGCTAAAGACCCCAGCAGCCAAGGGATCTGCCCCAGCTTAGCTCATGGCAGCCCAAGCACAACAGGAATAAATCATTAACGCCTTGAGGAGGACACAGAAACAAAATTAGTGACAGGGTGCAGCATTGCAGGGGCAAAGAAAGACAATTTCCTGAGTTTGGGCTGTTTCCTCAGTCCTGTGAAATGCCCTACCAATCAGACCACTAAATTCATTTTAATGAAATGTTCTATGTACAGAAGACTTACCTTTAGGTAGCATATATGTTATAACTAACGTAGAGTACATCCATAAGATACTTTTTATACTTAACAACATCTTGACCTAGAAATGAAGAACAAAGGAGCAAGCGGTTAGTATTGCACTGTGTCCTTAGAAAATGTTGTAACTTAGCACATCAGTATTTGTCACTGGTATCATAAGCAGTCCTTCCTGCTTTCAAGGCATTTTGATTTAGCAATTTATGGTGGAGAGTTGTTATAATGACCATGAGCCTCCATGGAATACAGATTTGTTATGGGTTTCAGGTTGTTGAGTCCTGAGTGATTCTCTGACATGTCAGTTCCCTTTGGTTTTGTCTCTCCTTTACAGGCTCCACCATCCAACAGCTGGAAAGCTCTTCACATGTATCATATGTAGACAATAATAAATTGCATGTTCACAACATTATTTCTCAGTTTTCATTTCTGCTCATAGTTACACATGTTGAACCTGTAAATATCCCCAAAGTTACAAAAGCATTGCAAGACACACAAACACCAATGACTACAAAGGGTTTATAAATAGTGCCTCATCGATACAGTTACATGCATGTGCTATGAACATCCCAACATAATAAATTATTATTTTCAGCAGCAATTTGTCAAAATGCTGACAAATTTTTATCACTACCTTGATTTTCTTGATATTGCTGCAAAATCTGCTGCCTGAGCTCTTCACTAGGGCAAATAACCAAGCTGACAGTTTTTTCCTGTTCAAGAGAGCTTGCAGCTGAACTGCCTTAAGGATCAGTGAAGGAGAGATTTAATAGATATGTACCTGTCTGTGTTGTAATCATGGAACCTGCACTGCACACATGTACAATTTAAAACTTCCACTGTTAAAAACTCCACAGGCTGCACTGAACATGACAGCAAAGACACACAGAGAGGCAACTTCAGAAAACTCCTGGTGACGTGTTCAACCTCAGGACAGCTCTCTGCACAGCTCACAGCTGCAGCCCAAACTCCACAGGAGTCTGTGTGAACTGGCACACATCCTGTAACGTCTGAGCAGCACGGGAAAGACGCAAAACATCTCCAACCAAGCCTTTCCAGTGAGGCAAGTTAAGAATTCCCACCCAACAGGGCTGAAAACCCCAGAGCCTTTCATTCCCTCTACATGGATGGTCAGAGCCAGCTAGCTGCACAGGGAAACATGTGCTACAACCTATTCCCTGGGCGTGGAGGGAGAAATGCAGCTGCTTTCCACAGAGCAGGCTGCACGCTGCCAAGGACGCCCCATCTCTGCTGCAGCCATTCAGGACAGCTGAGTGTAGAGTGTGATATCACTTATTTTGCAACGTGAACTTCATGGACTTTGCACTTTTCACAACTGAGTCCCAAACTAGAACCAGGACTTCATTCAGTTGAAGTCCTTCATGCCATAAAACTTTTAGGAAGACCCTAACACCTACCCCCAAAACCACTCGGCCAGACTTTTATCTCTTCCTACATTTACACAAGCCAAGCTGCATGTGAAGAAAACAGAAGTGACTATTTATTAGCTAACTTTTAAATTCCATACTGTGCCCTGGTGCAAACTCCCTGTAGAAGGCTGTTATGAGTGAGAGTGAGAGGTTGCACAAGATCAGAGCTGCAGACATCCAAGACCTCTGAATGCAAAGGATCAGCTCTGAAATGCAGTCACAGGCTTGCTTAGATAAACAAACAATTAAAAGAAAATGTGATGTCAGTCTGAGCCTACAGATGTGCAGAAGGACCTTCAAGCAACCCTTGTATCCCAAGAATGCTGGAAGCCTCAAGCACCAAAACCACTGCAGTGAAGCTCCTTTGGTAACACAAGAGCTCTGATGAGAGCATGAAAAGAAGACTGACTGGAAGAATTCTCCACCTTCCAAGGTGCTGAGTGAAGGACCTGCCTGCCAGACAAAGTTCTGGCCCCTGTGAGAGCTCAGTGGCTCCAGACCTTCTGAGATGTGCTGCCCACATGTGCTCCCCTGCGTCACACACTGCCTGCACCCACAGCGAAGCCAAGGTCCAGAACAGAATGTTTACAAGTTTAGCTCTCCATGTTTACCCATAAGTTTTATCTCCCTCCTTCCCCTGAAGGCAACCTTGGCTTTTGGGACCAGAATCAAGGGAATCAAAGAAACCTGACAAGAGAAAGAACAAAGTATTTTCTTTTTCACGACAACGGGGGTGTTGCACCTAAACAGAGCTGGTTGCATTTTGCACCTGGCCCACTTCCCTGGCTCTGACCTGGCGTACCTGGGTGCTTGGCACGTGTCAGTGGAAGCATGTTGCCCTTGGAAGTCCACTGTAATTGCTGTCATAACACAAGTGCTTCCACGTTTGGTAAGAACACAAACCCTGCTGCTACGCTTCCAGTCACCAAACACAACACACACACCCACAGGGACAGATGAAAACAGAAAGGCGACTGTGGAAAGGCAATTTTCAACGTATCCATGGGAACAGAACATTTCTGGATGTGATGGCTCCTAGCCTTTTATGGAGTAGGGCAGGGATTACACCTGCTGCACCAAGGGCGTGGATAGCTCCAAAAAAAATTGCACTTTTGGTTGAGCACAAAGCTTAATATGAGACATTCACCAAAAATCCCTACCTGACTCTTGGAAAACCACTTCCTGACTTTTTATAAATCTTCTTTATCCTGAAATGCTCACTCAAGCAATGAAAACCCTGGAGAGAATGGTGATGTTCAGCCCTAAGGGTCAGGAGTGTGACTCCCACACAACCCTCCACACGTGAGGGTTGGTTTTCATGCTCCAGGCTTTGGTGAGTTCCCATAAACACTCCTGGGTTGCCCAGTGCTGCTCCACTCCAGCTGCCAGAACTAAATGTGCAATTACTCCTGCCACCCTCTCCAGACATGCAGACCATAAGAGCAGCACCTTGCTCAGCCCCACAGGGCAGCCTGGCTCAGGAGGAGACAGAGCTCTGCAGACCTGGTGCCAAAAATCCTCCTCAGGACCCACAGCTGAGGCAGAGGTTGCTGCTTACACCTCGCCCCAATTCCCACCCACATTTCCAGGCTCTTGGATGTGATTGCAGGGGACTGTGCTCTCCTGTAGCCCTCAGAGCTAAATCCCTGCTCTAAAACAGGTTTGTGTTTACCATTCCTGCACCCTACAACTCACAGAAGTCTGCTGTCTGGCTGCCGTACTGCCCCTAAATCCACTGCAATTAGCCAAAATCTATCTAACTATACCTTTTTCCACAAGATTTTTTTTTCCCCCTTGGTGTCACTGCACCCATAGTAAAAGAAATCCATAACACAGCGAGCAAATCTTGCCAACTCAAGCTACAAGACTTGAGTAAGTGTTTAATTTCCACCTTCTGCTAAAAAAGTACCTCACTTGACGTGACCAAACTTGGGCTGCCTGCTGGCTGGTTTCCAGCTGGGCTGATCCATTTTATTAGGAGCTGTTACAGGCAGATGGACCTACAGTAGGAATTTGTGTTACATTTCTAAATGGGACACAGCCCTGAGTGCAGCATCTTTTAACCAACAGATGCAAAACTCCTGGACAAACTTCACATCTTTAAAAATTAGCAGTAGGTGTTCTCTCTGTGGGGAAAGAGAGAACTGTCCTGTTTTTGCAGGCGCTGCTACCTTCCCTTACTACAGCAAAAACTCATAGGAGCAGTAAGTTCTGACCAAATTCCAGCTTGTGTTTAGTTTGCACTGTAAGCTTGATCTCACACCAATGCCATTTTAATTTAACCAGATGAGAGAACATCATGTCTCCCTTTCTGTTTAAAACTTCAGGTTCAGAAAGCAAATTGTTCTGGTGTGGAAGAGACTAAAGCTTACAATCCAAAAATACTCCTGGTTTCTCTGAAGCTGAGAGAATGAGGAATTTGCCATATTAGTCATTTTCATAGAGGTAACAATGTCTGTAAAACCTACAACTTCTCAGGTCACACTGAGATTGGTTCTGCACATACTCTACAGCTGCATTGTGAAATCTGGATACGTTCCTTAAACACGTACAAAGCAGCCTCTGCCATCTGACCTCCACAATGAAAGTCAGAATGGCAAAAAAGATGAAAAAAGAAAAAAAAAAAAAAGAAGAGGGTGGGACCCAACAGAACCCGGCACTAGAGAAGAGAAGGAAGGCTACTCATTCTAATGGGTAAAACAGTAAATTACAGTTTCCAGTGGAACCCCCAAAAAGGTAGAAATCACCAATCCCAGTCACAAAACATCCCTTGCTACCTTCCAAGCTCTGAAAGCTTCACAGGTACCATCCTTCCTCAAAGGCACACATTCTGCACTTTGCTTTACTTCTGCATCCTTTGATCTGTTAATTGCTGCCATGCATCCACCTCACCATCAGCCCTGTCTAATTAACTCTGCCAGCCCTACCACCTCTCTGCCACGTGATTAATTAGCCCACTGTGCCAACACATGGCACATCAGCCTGCATCCAGCTCACCAAGCCCTTGCTTCGCCCGCAATCCCTTGGAAAGGGAAGGCCTTGGAGGTTTTTGGGGTGTCTGCATCACCTCTTCCTCATCACCTCCAGCAGCTGTGGGGGGAAACTCCTCCAGGCTGAGTCCTTGTGCTGCTGCCTGCAGGCTGGAGCACAGACAGGAGCAGTGACCAGAGCACAGCGTGTTCTGGCTGCAGCAGCTGCTGCCTCGGGACATCCCTCACAGCTCTGTGCTTGCATGCCAGGAGCAGCTCCAGGCTCTGGGACAGCCACGCAGAGACACAGTGGAAAAGTGCCAGAGGCAGCGCGTGGAGGAGCAATGAGCACACCCTGCTCCTTCTGCATCATCCCAGCTCCACCTTGTCGCTCCTGCCTTCCAGAAACATTGAATATCCCAAGGTATCAGCAAGTCCCACTGCTAGCCCTGCACAGGATACTCTGACAATCCTATGCTGTGCCTGAGAGCATTGCCCAGCCACACTGACCTCTGTCAGGCTTGATTCCAGCTGAGGGTCTCTCATGCCCAACTCTCTCAAGCACCTGCACTGCTGAAGGGAGCAAGAGGTGGAAACAATGTGAAGGTGTCACTCCTGGCACCACACACTGCCGTTGTGGGGTTAGGCACCACGGCAGCCCTGTGGGCTCCAACAGGGGTTCTTCAGCCCTCTTGGGGCTCACCCAGTTCTGCTGCTGGGCACAAGGGTGGCTGTGGGTGCCCTCAGCTCGCTCTGCCATCCCCACAGCCCCAGTGCCACCTCAAGCCCAGGCACTGAGGGATGACCAGAGTCGGAAATGCACCAGTCCCACCCTTCTGTCCAGCACTGCCCATCGGGCCCTGCCTGCTCCTGTGCCACAGAACCTGCCCAGCTGAGCCATGGCAGCTGTGCCAGCCTTTCCTGCCGGCAGAGCTGCTCCATCCTCTGCCCATCCTGGAGCCTTCTCCGTACCCACTTCTTGTGCAGAAGACTCACATGGCTGATGGGGAGTGCGAGGAACAGCGGCGACAGCGGCTTTTATCGAGGGGGTGTTGCGTATTTTAAATTATTTTATTACGGCGGTGATTTGGGGGGATTTGGCCTTTTTTTCCCCTCACGCTGACGGGCCCGGAGCCCTCTGGCGGGAAACCGGCGGCCGCGGGAGCTGCCATGCCGCCGCTCGCCGCCCGGGGGCGCCGCGGGGCCGCCGCGCCCGCCCCGTTCCTCGACAGCGGCCGCGCCCCCGGGCCAGCACCGGGCCCACGACCCCAAACCGGGACCGAACCCGCGGGCTCAACATGGGGCCGAGCCCGCCGCCCCAAAACCGGCACTCAGCCCGTGATCCCCGGCGGACACGCGACACGGAGACCCCCCCAAAGCCCAGCCCTGCCACAGCCTCCCCCCGCCCCGGCAGCGCGGGACCGCGCCCGCCCCGTCCCGGGCTCGCCCCGCCGAGCCTCGCTCGCTCCTGAGGGGGAGGAAACTTCCCCTTTCGCACAGACCGAAAGGCCAAAAAAGAAGAGAAAAGGATTAAATTTTAAAAAGGCACGGAAATAAAGGCAATTCTTGAAGCCACCCAACGTTTACGCTCTCCTATCCCGGGATGGGTTTTTGATTTGGTTTCTGGTTTTGATTGGTTTTTTTGGTGGTTTGGGGTTTTTTTTTGTTTTGTTTTTTGGGTTTTTTGGGTTTTTTTTTCAGCGCGTTTCGACGCTCACGCCTCAATTAACAAAAAAAAAAAAAGGGAAAGAAAAGGGGAGGGGAAGGTGAAGGGAGGAGGAGAAAAAAGGGGGAAAGGGAAAGGAAAGGGAAAAAAGGGAGGGAAAGGGAAAAAGGGAAGGGAGGAAAAAGGGAGGGACAGGGCAAAAAGGGGAAAAGGGAGGCAAAAACGGGTAGGGAAGAGGAAGAAAGAGGAAGGAGAGGAAGTAAAAAGACGGAAAAAGAGGAAAAGCGGGTAAAGAGAAGAAAAGGCGGAAAAGAAAAAGGAAGGAGGGGGAAAGGGAAGGGAAGGAAAGGAAAGAAGGAGATGAAGAAAAAGGAGGAAGAGAATGGGGGAAAGGGAGAAAAACCGAGGGAAGCGGGTGATATAAGGAAAAAAAAAAAAAAAAAGCCATGGGGGCTTAATCCCGAGAGCCGGTGCAGGGAGGGAAGGGAGAGGGGGTGGCCGGGAGGACGTGACCAGGGGGACAATGAGGGCCGGCCCCCGCCCGCCGCCCGCCGCCCCTTTGTGTGGGGACGGGCCCGGCGGAGGCTGCCCGCGGTCCCGCTGCCGTCCCCACACACACACACCACACACACCGCCGCTCCTTCCCGCCGTCGGAGCTCCCCGCTTGCCCTCCACCGAGCTCTCACTTTTCCTTTGTAACACAAAGGCGAAACCCCTGGCAGCGGAGGGGGGAAGGCAAAGCCCGTGCCCCAGAAAGTGGACGTGGGTGTAAGAGGGGGGCGTTTTGCTCCACTGACCTTGCGATCCTCCTCCTCCTCACCCACTGCCCCCCTTTCCGCAGAGAAAATGTGGCTCGGGGCACGCTGCTCTCCGGCTCTTCTGGAGAGATGCTGAGCACCTCAGAGCCGCTCTGCCCTGCGAGCAGCTTTCCAGGAACATCAGGGAAACGGATTGGAGGGGGGGAAAAAAAAAAAAATGGATGTGGGGAGCACACAGGAGTGGAGGACACAGAACGCACGCTTTTCCCAGCGCTAGAAAACTGGTGGCCGTGGGGAAAGGTCCGTTCTCGTCGCTCCTGCCACACGGGCGCTTTGTGTACTTAACACCCGTAAGGAGCAGCTTCCTCCGGTCTCCCTCCGGAGCCCCGTCGCACGCCAAGGTGCGGCTCTACCTTCCCAGCCATCCAAACCACCAGCACCGAACACCCTTGTCAGGGCTCCCACCCCAAAGTCTTCTATTCCCTAGTTTTCTTTGTTCTCCTCTTTGCACCCTTTTTTTCTCTCTCTCTCTCTCTTTTTTTTTTTTTTTTTTTTTTTTTTTTTTTTTTTTTTTTTTTTTTTTTTTGGTGGGTGCCCGAGCATCCCTCCTTCTCTTCCCCCGCGTGTCGTTGAACTTACCCCAGGTTGTTTAAATTCACCAATCATCGCTACTCCCTCCCGCTTAAGATTTGCAGTTCAAACTCTTTGTTGGTGCAAGCAGTAAAACAATTGTTTTAAATCTTAGACTAGGTGTTTGCTGGCAGTCATAGTATAGAAAAAACGGAGGGGAAATTTAAAAAAAAAAAAATCACTACAAACCAACCCACAATAAAAGAGTTATAGTTACCTTAAAAGGTAGCGTATTGCAGAGATAGCAAAAAATCACAACGTGGTGGCTGGGCTAGTCCAGAGATCCCAGTGGCCGCATGAAAGAGTAAATCCCCTCGTTAGTGCTGGAAGGAGCCGGTGGTTCCGGGCTGTCCCCTTGTGCCGGAGCTCGGTGTCCCCTCCTTCGCTCGCTTCCCGCCGGCGAGCACCTGACTCCGAGCGGCGGAGCCGGGACCGAGCTGTGGGCAAAGGGAGCGAAGCCTGCAAGTTCAAATGCGAGCCTCAGCCACCCATCATTATTATATCGTTGTACCGTCAGCGCTGCAGAGGAGGGGCGCTGGCTCGGGGAGAGGAGGGTTCACAAGCTCTGCGAGAGCCTCCTTGCAATTTCCAAAGCTCCCGCAGCTGCTGGGCGCAGGAGAGCCCCCAGCGCCTGCCTCCGCCGAGCGGGGCCCCCCCGCCCCCGGCCGCCCCCTCGGGGCTCCCTCCGGCCCCCAGACCCGGAGCGGGGACCCGCAGCCCGGTGCGGCGGGACGGGTCCCTCCGAGCTCGCCCGGAGCCCTCCGGAGAGGGGCAGGCTGGTGCGAGAGGCGCATTGTTCCCCAATTAGACAATTAACCGGGAAGAGAATGGAGAGACCTCCTCCACCCTGGCTCCCGAAGCCGGTTGAAATGGGGAAAGTGACTGGGACCGAAATGCCTTTTTCCCCTTTGCCTCCACAGTCTCAGCGGAGGTTGCAATGAAAGAATAAATTGGTGCTGGTTCCAAACTTCCCCTGCCGATGCCAATTCACAGGCAGCCTCACATCGGCAGCCGCCCGAGCCAAGCTTCTCCACCCATGCATCTCCAGCCACTTTCTTTTTCTTTTTTTTTCTTTTTTTTTTTTTTTTTTTTTTTTTAAGATTAGACTCTGCGTTTGCTGTCCAAACCTCTCAGAGATGAAGTCATAAGTGGAACTCTAAAACAGCCTTTTACAAGGGATGTTCACCAGTTAATAAAGGGTCTGGTGTGCTCTCCAGGCAGCCCCATCCCAAAATGTACCTATCTCAGAAGGTGGGAGACGTTTAAGGCACCCTCACCAAGCACAAAATGCTGGCAAGAGCAGCTCCTCTGGCTTGCTCCCTCTCAGAGAAGCAGATGCCAGAAGTCCCCCTCCTCCAGGAAGGTGTAAAGCTGGAGCCAGAAGAGAAAAGCCTGGAGAAATAGGTGTGTCTGATTGCACTGCTCTGGGCACGTTTTTGGCAGCCCCAGGTACAAGCACTAGGAAGAGGCAGAAGGAGTTTTCCTTCAGCTCCTCTCGCTGTTACAGTTCCAGCTGCTCTGTCCCCAGAGTTACGCTGACAGAGGATTTCAGACAAGCCCAAAGCCCTTGTTTCCAAAGACAGAACTGGTGCCAAGTTGGAGGGGTGGGAGGTGGAAGAGATGAGAGCCAAGCAGGGAGAAATGGAGACCTGGAGGCTTAAGCCAGATCAGCTTTGTGTGAGCTGTGGCCTGGGCGAGCGGAGCTGGAGCGCTGGCTGAAAACCTTATCTCAGCTTGCAGAGCTTGTTTGTTTTCCCTCCTTACACGGAGTAAATACACAATTGCTTACTTGGGATGTTGAAGAGAGGCTTCTCTCCCACCAGTGTCACCTCCCAGCAGCACCAGTGCCCCCAGTTCCCCGTGCCTGGGTCAGCCCCTGCATGGTGCACTGCCACACCTAAACACACTGGACCTGCCCCACGCTGGGACGAGGTTTCTCAGCCCTTGAAACTTTCTTATTCCTTGAAATCCTTGAAATCCTTGAAATCCTTGAAATAGTGCGTCAGAAGGGCTGATGGAAATACAACACACTGTTTTCAAACAGGCACTCTAAACAGTTGGGGGCATGCTTTTTGAGGTATTTGATGCAAAATCACACAGAGGCTTTGCAGTTCCTGTTTTTGGTAGCCTTGCCTGCCTCACCAGTGTCACTGCTGAGGCAGTGCACACTTCCTCTGCACAGTGTTGTGATGAAAGGAGGATACTGACGTTGAATGTCTCCCACACTGGTTCAAACAAGCCTCTTCTGCCCCTCCAGATGTAAGGGGGTTGGGTGAGACACAGGGTGAGGGCACTGCTCCCTCTCCCCACACAATCTCAGCCTTCCCAGGCTGCAGACAAACCCTCTGAAGACGTATGTGTAAGGCAGCAATCTCTCTGGCCCACTCCTTTTTCCAGGTGAAGAGGTGGGAGACCATCCCGCTGCCATCCTGGCCTCTGGAAAGGAGAGCAGGAAAGGAGCACTGGGTATCTCCCTTTGTCCAGGCCACCCTCCAGGGCAAACAAGGAATTTCTAAATGACCAGGCACCGCATTCAAGCTACCCCTCTAGCCTTCAGTGGCCCCAACTTCCCAGCTCCACCTGCTCCTACTCTGCTCCCTGCCTTGGCTTCAGGTGGGAGGGGTGACATTTAGCAGAGCAGGAGCCACTTCTGCAGCCCTGAGCTTGCTTCTTCATCACCCCGTGACCCTTGTCCACTGGAGACTGAACAGCTGCTCCTGGCAAAGGGTGGGAGGGGGAAAGGGTGGCTCTGCTGTCCCTGCTCTGCTGTGGAGCATCCTCTCGCAGCTGCGGCTGCAGCAGCACAGCTCCACGAGGGGAAGCTGCAGGTTTCTGCTCCCACTGTGCTGTGCTGGTGTCCAGCTGAAGCACTGGCCACCCTTCCAGGGGATGGGGAGATCCTGAGTCTGACCCGAATTCCGAACAGCGAGTAGGGCCGAGGGGCAGCGCAGCTCTCTGCCCTACAAGAAGCAACCAGTAGTTATAGCCCGGGGCTAACCAGCCTCGGGTCGGCTCGCTGCTGGCACCTCTTATTTCTTTTTCACGATGGGGAAGAAAATAGATTATTTCTTTAAAGAGAAAAAAAACCCTTCCCCCCTCCCCTTTCCTTTCCCACCCCCCGGCTGCCGGAGCTCTGATGGGAACCGGCCGGCCAAAGCCGCTCCGTCTCGGAGCTGGGAAGAAAGCGGAGGATGCAGAACCCACCCCCTTCCCCCCTCCTCCCCAGCCCCCTCCCCGCCTTCCTCCTGCTCCTCCTCCTCCTCCTCTTCCTCCTCTCCGCCCGGCGCGGAGCTCCCGGAGCCCCCGCGGAGCCTCGGGGCCCCGGGGCTGGAGGCGCGGAGCCGCAAGGAGAGGAGGCGGGCGGGGGGCTCCGCGCTCCCCCCTGCCCTTCCCGCGGTGGGATGGAGCTTTCTGGGCACGGGGGAGGCTTTGGGGCTGGCCAGACAAAGGCACGGGCGGAGGTGGTCGCAGGGCTGCTGTGGAGCTGGGAAGGGAGGGATGAGGAACTCCTCCTGGGCATCCCCAGCCCGCCGGGGAGAGAAAACCCCGGAGGAAGGAGGGTGTGTTACACCGGAGACCCTCGGGGGCTTACACCGGAGACTGGGGAAAGTGAGGAGCGGATCGAGCTGGAAAAACAGACCGCTGCAGCCCCTCGGTGTTTTCATCTCATTTTATTTAACCCTCCCCACCTTCCCCGGGAGCCAAGCTTTCTGCACTGAACCAAAAAACTGTCCGGAAAGGGGATCTCCTTTCCTCCTCTTGGAGACCACGCAAACTGCCTCCATGGGTTATGTCAGGGGCCTGAAACGTTTTCTGATTTACTGTGAATGTCAGATACTTTTCTTTGTAAATATTTTAGGCAAAGTAGAAACAGTAAACCTTTGCTCAGGCTGCCAAAGTCTCCCATGACAAATCATTGTTTTCAGATGTTCGGATTTGTGTGAGAAAACCCAACAAAAGGAAAAATGTTTAGGCTTTGTCTCCATCCTAAAGCAATATCACTCGAGAAAAAAAAATAATCCTCCCAGCTACGTCGTAGTCCAGAGATGAAGAAAAATACTATTTTCATTACACACTTCTTAAGCACAGGTTTTATGTTACTGACTCAACAATGATTATCATTTTAAATGTGAAACACAGGCCCTAAATGGTTCTTTATGAGAAACCATTGTTTTCAAATATCTGAAATTAATTAGACCATGGCTACAGTCAATGTGCAAATATCAAACTGAACATCTGTGGAAAAAAAGCGCTTCCCATCACTTGAAAGAATATTGTGGGTCTGAAACAGTCTCTCCAGGAAAATCTAATTTGTCTGGCATAGGCTCTCTTAAGCTATCTTTTGTGGCTTCACAATCACCTTTTCTTTGTCTCTTCTGCGCTCTTTTTTTGCCTCCTGAGCTGCTGTGTGTGAAAAAAAACTTTACATAAAAGTAAAGGAAATAATTCACACAATTTACATGTCAGCAGCACTAAGGTCAGTTCGAGCAAAATTAAAGATCCTTTCAAAGTTATTCCACCTGGTCAGTGGCTCTGAAGGTCCAGCTTCCCACTCCCGTCTACTTGCAAAGGGTTGTGCCATGGCAGCTGTGCTGAAAATGAGTCCATTGCCCCAGTTTGCCTCTCAAAGGTACAGATATGTAGGCTGCTTCATTATTCTGGAGTGATTCAGTTATCTAAGCCCCAATGTGTTTTCAGAAACCACAAAATCTCCCAAAACAATAGACTTTTTGCAAGTTCTCAGATTCCATGTTTAAGAAAAAGCTTTTTTTTCCTCCCCAGTACTTCTCTTTCCTACGCTTCAAGTGAAATATGTTTTCAGAGGCAAATTAAAAATCTCCAAAGGAGTCAGGCTCAGCAGCAGTGGTAACCATAGTGTACACAACCGCTTTCTCAAACAAAACACTTGATGGCTTATGTCAATGTTTCTTTTGTGGCAAAACCCTTCTCCACCTATTTTTACTCCATATTTCTTCAGCAGAGGGGAGAGCACTCAGCTACAAAAAACCATGAATAGAGTGTTTCATTTGGTAGCAGAACAAGCCACAATTGATGGTTAGGTATTATTTCTGCATTAAATGTAATGATGCAGACACGGCACTATCTGCACTCAGATAGTCGGTTTCCAGGACAGGATTTATCAGGAGAAGGTCCAGGCTTTCAGCAGCACTGGATGATGATGGCAAAGGCAATGATGTTTTCCTCCTGTGTTCTGATGCTGCCTTCTGTTCTGACTCAGTGTTTCTGCCTTGACTCCAAGGACAAGGGGCCAGACTGGGATGTTTTATGTTTCCACAGCTAATCCCCCCAAAAGCTGTGTCAGGAAGCTGGTGGTTTTTGGTTCTGGCTGGTGTAAGTGTCAGGCTGTGTCTCCAGGTCAGGCTGAAAGAGCAGCCTGCTTCCCACAGCTGGGTCTGGCTCCTCGGAGAATGGCAGCTTTGTGATTTTGGGGAGGAGTGGTCAGTGTGGGC